TTGATGGATGATGTTCTTGATGTCATCCTACAATTTCTCTGGTTTTCGGTCACTGGTGTTCAGTGCATCAGATCTATTCTTTAGATGGTCTCTAAATTCAGGAGGGATATAATCAAGGTCTATTTTGGCACTCATGGACTTGTTTTAATTGTCTTCAACTTCAACTTGAACTTGCAAATGAGCAGTTGATGGTCTGTTCCATAGTCAGCTCCTGGCCTTGTTTTTTTTAAAATTGTGATTTGGGTGAATATTTACAGAGAAATTAACTTTCCATACAGCAGTTCACTTACACTTTGTCTCATGACATTGACTACAATTTACTCTAGTGCAACAGCTCCTCTCTCACTTCCTCCCGATAGTTACCTCTTTCCTGTGTCCATCCCTCCATGCACTCCTGCCCTTTGAGCTACCTCTATGTGCATAAACAGCCCTTCTTTCTCCCTTGATTGTTCTCTCCAAGGAGTGTATCTACTTCAGGTAAATGTTCAACTCATATGCCTGTCTTTTGTTTGGCTGGAAGCCACAGGTGTGCCATTCCAGACCTGAAGGGCAGCTAGGGGCATAGTCTTAGTGGTTCTACCAGGCTCTATCAGACCAGGAAACCTGGTCTCCCTCCTCCCCTTTTTTTCTTCCCCAAATGATTGTGAGTTTTGTTCCACATTGTTCTCCCTTTCTATCCAGGATTTCCTACATAGATCCCCCTCTGAGTGGTTGATGGTGATAGCCAGGCACCATCTAGTTCTTCTGGTCTCGTAGTCATATAGGCTGCGGATCGCATGGTGTACCAGTTACTAGGACTAATTCTTTCCATAAATCTTTGGTTTTCCTCATTCTTCTTTGCTCTGGATAAGGAGAGACCTATCGTTGCATCTAGATGGCTGCTTGCAAGCTTTTAAGATCCCAGTTGCTACTTGCCAAAGTAGGAGGTGGAACAATGTTTTGTGTAGTATGTTATGCCAATTGAGCTTGATGTGCCCTCCATAGGGTCCCGAGCCCACCAATTCAACTACTACTCAGTCCCTTTGGGTAGATGGCTGTGACCAAGCAGTGAAACCTTGTCCCTTGTCAGCTCTACTATACATCTGGGAATACAAATACACTTATAGGACCATTGTCTGCCAACCCTATACATGTTCTTGGGTACACTCCCTGCTTCATAGACATACCTGTCCACCTGTTCAGCCTGTCTACCCATCTATCCACCCGTATACCCTTGTTTGCCTTCACTGACAATGCAGTACTCTTATGTGCATGCAAAAGGGTTCATCTTTGTTGTCTTTATCTCCCGTGTACCTCTCTATGTTTTCCTCTTCCTCAGTGCCACCATGTTCATCGCTCACATTTGGTACATTGCCCTTCTCTTCTCCCAAATCAATACTTATCTCTACCTCTCTAACAGTGTTCCCTACCCTCCTCTTCTACCATTTACCCCTGGTAACCAACAAAGAAAATTTCCTTCCATAGATAAACCTTTCCTTGAGTTTTGCAATAACAGACTAATACAATATTTGTCCTTTTGTAATTGACTTATTTCACTCAGCATAATGTCCTCCAAGTTCATCCACATTGTGCAGTGTTTTGCAGATTCTAGATTATTCTTTAGGGTTGCATATTCTTTAGTATTCCATTGTGTGTATGTTGCATAGTTTGGTTATCCATTCCTCGGTTGATGGACACCTGGGTTGTTTCCATCTTTTGGCTATTATAAATAGTGCTGCGATGAACATGGGTGTGCATGTGTCTGTTCTTGTCCTGGCTCTTACTTCTTTAGAATATATACCTAGTAATGAAATGGCTTGGTCAAATGGTATTTCTAATTTCAGCTTCTTAAGGAATCACCATACTGCTTTCCATAGTGGTTGTACCATTTTACAGTCCCACCAGCAGTGTATGAGAGTCCTAATCTCTCCACATCTTTGCCAGCATTTGTTATTTTGTGTCTTGTTGAACTTTGCTACTAGTGCTGGGCAAGATGGTATCTCATTGTTGTTTTGATTTGCATCTCTCTAATGGCTAATGATTGTGAGCATTTCTTTATGTTTGTTGGCCACCTGGCTATCCTCCTTGGTGAAGTGTCGATTCATGTTTTCTGCCCATTTTTTAATTGGATTATTTGTCTTTTTGTTATTGAGGTGTTGGAATTTTCTATAAATTCTAGAGATTAGTCCTTTGTCAGTTATGTCATTGCCAAATATTTTTTCCCAATCTGTAGGTTCTCTTTTGACTCTTTTGGGGAAGTCTTTGGAAGCACATAAAAATTTGATTTTGAGAAGGTCCCATTCATCTAGCTTCTCTTCTGCTGTTTGTGCATTTTGGGTTATGCTTGATAGTCTATTTATGCCATATATTAGGGCCCCTCAATTTGCCCCTAGTTTTTCCATGAGGAACTGTATAGTTTTAGGTTTCACATTTAAGTCTTTGATCTATCTGGAGTTCGTTTTTGTGTATGGTGTGAGGTGCAGATCTTGTTTCATTTTTCTGCAAATGGATATTTTGTTTTGCCAGCACCATTTATTAAACAAACATTCTCTCCCCCATTTAATGGATTTCGGTCCTGGCCTTGTTTTGGTTGAAGATCCTGAACTTCTCCATCGCCTCTTGGTCTAGTCAGTCTGATGCCTGTGTATTCTGTCTGGTGAAGTCCACGTGTATAGCTGCTATTTGCATTGTTCAAAAAAGATATTTGCAATGAGTAAGTTGTTGGTCTTGCAAAATTCTATCATGTGATCTCCAGCATTATTTCTATCACCAAGGCCGTATTTTCCAACTACCGGTGATTCTTCTTTGTTTCCAAGTTTTGCATTCCAGTCTCCAGTGATAATTAACACATCTTTATTGCATGTTCGGTCAGTTTCAGACTGCAGAAGTTGGTAAAAATCTTCAATTTCCTCATCTTTGGCTTTGGTGGTTGGTGGATAAATTTGAGTAATAGTGGTGGTAACTGGTTTTCCTTGTAGGTGTATGGATATTATTGTATCACTGATAGAATTGTATTTGAGGATGTATTTTGATACATTCTTTGTGATGATGAATGTCATGCCACTCCTCCTTAATTTGTCATTCCTGGCATAGTAGAGCATATGCTTGTCCGATTCAAAATGGCCATATTAAGTAATTAATTTCACTGCATCTCCTGAGAACCACTAGATGACCAGTTATCCTTTGGCTGTTTTTCAGTACTGGTCTTAGACATTCAATATGTATGCATAGGAGGGGAGTTTTTAGTTGTTTGCAGATGCTGCCATAAGCAGTGGGGCTAGAATTTCCTGTGGTGGTGGTGTGGGGCTCTCTCTGTCTTTTTATCGCCAATGCCCCTGCACAGACACTCCCATGATGTCCCTCTGTAGATCATTTGTTTTGTTCCTCTCAGTCTGAAATATTCCCTTTGTCCTGCTGCCCTTGCAGTCCTAGTGCTTACCCATTACAAGCCTCCACAAGATTGAACAGCACTCTTAAACCATACTGTGGTCTTCCTTCTCACCTTCCCAGTTGCCTATTTCAATCCCACAGCCAGTTTATACCTTAAAAAAAAGTTGGGCCAGAGTTTCCTCAGGTTAGCACCTTTTCAGTGTTCTACGTTTGAGGTGTTACCCTCAGACTTCATCCCAAAATGGCTACTGTATTGGTTACCTCTGTGCTGCTCTGACAAGAATATACCACAAATGGAATAGCTTTAACAAACAGGAGTTTATTCTCTTACAGTTTGGAGGCTTTAAGTTTGAGTTCAAAGTGCCAGGCTCTAGAAGTTATGTGAAAGCATCTCAACCTTGGGCTTCAGCTCTGCCTCTTGCTCCTGGCCCACTGGAGCTACAGGCTTTTTTTTTCCCTCAGAAAGCTGCTGGCTGTTGAGACTGACAAGCCCAAGGTTGAGAAGTAATAAGGCAGAGTCCTGATGTTAATGGCTGCCATTAATTAAAGTCCATTAAAAGTCCCTAGATCAGCAGAGCATGGCAAGCTGCTGAACAATGACTTGGCTACATGTAGGGTTCAAGCATGCCATGTGCTAGAGACCACATCCCTAAGGCAGCTACTCAGCTGCTCACATTAGAGACCACCATGGAGCTGATTACCAGTGTCACCATGGAGAATACTACATTCAGCTGCCCAGCCACTCAACCAGGCCCAGCCAAGTTGACATACAAACTTAACTATAACAGGTACTATGAGCAGGCTCTCCCTGATGTTAGTGGGTATGGTCTCCTGGCTTCTGAGCCAACCTCCTCTGTACCGCTTCTGCACTCACCCCAACTCTCTAGTATTTCAGCTGCTATCTGGTGTTCTGAGATCTCAGTCTTTGCTCGTTTTTATTTGTTGCTCACTGGGTTAGTTGCCAGGCAATAAATGGGAGTGGCCACTCACTTTTCCATCTTGTCCCGCCTCCTCCATAGGGTTTTCAGTGACTGTTTTTTGGAAGAAGATCACCAGGCCTTTCTTCTGAGGCTCCCCTGGGTGGACTTGAACCACCAACCTTTCGGTTAGCAGCCAAACGCTTAACCACTTACAACACTGAGGCTTGTGTCCTTATATTACATGTCCTATAATCCCTTTAATTAATTCCCTGTAATTGAAAAGTTGGGAATGTTTTCCTTGTGTTGCTTGGTAAGCATGCTGTGATGCACGTCTTTGAGCACTTGTCTGATTATTTACTTCAGCAAATTTCCTGGGTGTGAAATTACTGGTCCTTGGGAATATACCTTTTGTAAGACTTCATCTATCTTGCTAACTACCTTCAGAGGAGAGTGATGCTAAGTTTTCTGTGTTCTCCCTAGCCAGCAGCCTTTGAGAGTGCTGGTTTTTATATACACACCCTCCACTGGCATTGTCATTCCTTCTAATTTTTCTTTCTTCTCATAATCTCTAGTCTTAAAAAAAATTCTTTATAGAATATTGCTTTCCTGGCAGTTTGGGAAATGAAGGTTATGTTTTCCTTTCATACTAAGGCCACTGACTGGGGGGTCCCCTCATGGGTCTCTGGTCCTGACAGCCCTCTTCCCACCCAGGCCCAGCAGGAGACCCAGAAGGCTGCACTGCGGTACGAGCGGGCTGTGAGCATGCACAACGCTGCGCGGGAGATGGTGTTTGTGGCTGAACAGGGCGTCATGGCCGACAAGAACCGGCTGGACCCCACGTGGCAGGAGATGCTCAACCATGCCACCTGCAAGGTGAGCCAGGGTGGCTTCCCCCAGGTTCTTTTCTGCTAACTCCTTTGCTTCCCCTTCTTCATTCCTTTTTCTCTCTTACTCTTACATTCCAGCCGCCTTTCAACTTTGATTCTGTCTCCAGCAAAACCTATTCCTTGTTCTCTGCCATGTTTGGCCTCAGTGCTTCCCATATTCCATTTTCCTCTAACTTAGCATGTCTTTCCTGACTGTTATCAAACCTTTGTCTCTAGGAGTGATACCAAGCACAAACTTTGATCCCTACCAGATGCTCCTAATTCAGCATTTGCTTTCTCTTATGTTCAGCATCTGTTTTTGGAACCCTTTCCTGCTTTTGAGCTCTGGAATGTCTTTTTTTTTTTTTTTTTTCCTTTTTAATAGTGGTGAAAATATACACACCAAAACTTAACAGCACAACACCTTCCACACTTAAAATTCAATGACAGTGATTGCATTTTTCATGTTATGCCACCATTCTTAGTATCCTTTCCTAAAATTATTCTACCACCATTAGTATAAACTCAGTGCCCTTCAAATAAAAACTCCCTTTCTCCCTCCCTCCTTCTCTGGGTAACCATTAATAATCTTTTTTTTTCCTCCCTGCTTGCTTCATATAAATGAGATCATATAGTTTTGTCCATTTGTAATTGACTGGCTTTTGTCAGCTTAATGTTTTCAAGGTTCATCCATAATGTGGCATGCATCAGAATTTCATTTTTCTTTATGGCTGAATACTATTCTGTTGAATGTGTACACCACATTTTGTTTATTCATTCACCTGTGGATGAATATTTAGGTTGTTCACACCTTTTGTCTATTGTGAAAAGTGGTGCCCTGAACATTAGTGTATAGGTTCCTGTTTGCATTCCTGCCTTCATATCTTCTGGTTGTATACCTAGGATTGGGATTGCTGGGTCATGTGGTAGTTCTTTGTTCAACTTTTTGAGGAACTGCCAAATTTTTCCATAATGGCTGTAGCACGTTACATTTCCACCAGCAATGGATGAAGGTTCCAGTTTCTTCGCAGCCTTGCCAATGTTTGTTGTTGCTGTTCTTTTTGAACATTGCCATTCTAACAGGGGTGATATCTTATTATGATTTTGATATGCACTTCCCTAATGGCTGAGAATCTCTGGTTGTACAGTGGGTAAGTGCTTGGCTGCTAAAAGGTCAGTGGTTTGAACCTACCAGTGGGTCTGTAGGAGAAAAGATTTGACATGTTGCTCCTGTTAAGATTACAGCCTAGGGAACCATATGGGGCAGTTCTACTCTGTCTGTAGGGCTGCTGAGAGTCTGAATTGATGGTATATAACAACAGCAGCATCAACAGTGGCTACGGCTAATGATGTTGAACATCTTTTCATTTGTTTGTTGACCATTTCAATACCCTCTTCCGTGAACTGTGTTCAAGTTTTTCCCCATTTTTTTGATTGAGTTGTTTTTGTTGTTAAATGGTAGAAGTTTTATATGTATGTTGAGATACCGTTGTTGTTGTTATGTGCCATTGAGTCGACCCCGACTCATAGTGACCCCTCCTTGGGTTTCCGAGGCAGTATCACTACGGAAGTAGGAATGCCCAACCTTCCTTCCGAGGAGTGGCTGGTGGGTTTGAACCACCAGCCGTCTGGTTAGCAGGCAAGTGTCTTAACCACTGTGCTACCAGAGCTCCTAGGCTCTTATTTTATATTTGGTTCCTGAAAATTTTCTCCCAATCTGTAGATTATCTTTCCACTTTGTTGATAAAGTCCTTTGATACACAAAAGTATTTAATTTTTATCTAGTCCCATTTATCTGTTTTGTCTTTATTGCTCAAGTTTTGCAATATGATAATATATAAGTAAACACTGGGTCCTACATTCTTCTCCCGTTTTTCTAAGAATTTTATTATTTTAGTTTTCACACTTGATCTGTTTTCAATTGAGTATGAGGCAGGAATCCTGATTCATTCTTTTGCATGTAGAAATCTAGTTTTCCCATAACTATTTATTCAAGAGACTTTTTCTTCCCCACTGAATGAACTTACTACCCTTCTTGAAAATCAGTTTGCCGTAGATGAATGGATTTATTTCTGGAGTTTTAATTCTATTAATTGGTCTAGAGGCTTATTATTATACCAGTACTAAACCCCAAAAAAAACAAACCCACTGCCATAGAGTCGATTCAACTCATAGTGGCTCCTCTTTGGGTTTCCAAAGTGATATGTTTAGAGAAGTAGATTGCCCCGTCTTCCTTCTGAGGAGTGGCTGGTGAGTTTGAACTGCCAGGCTTCTGTTTAGCAGTCAAATGCCTTAGGCCACCAGAGCTCCTGGTTTAATTAATTACTGTAGTTTTGTAGTTTGTTTGAAATCAGTAGGTGATTCTTCCTACATTAGTCTTTCTCTTCAAAATTGGTTTAGCTGTTCTCTTGCTGTTCTATATAAATTTGAGGATTGTTTTTTCTACTTCTGTAAAGAAGACTGTTAGAAATTTGTTGGGGGATTGCATTGAATCTATAGATTGCTTTGGGTAGTATTGATACCTTAACTATATTAATCCACCTAGGCAATGGACATGGAGTGTCCTTCCATCATTGAGGTCTTTAACTTCTTTTAGTAATTTAGTAATGTTTTATAACCTGTATGCAAGTCTTTCGCCTTCCTGTTTAAATTTATTCCTAGGTACTTTATTATTTCAGATGCTTTTATAAATGGTAATGTTTTCTTAATTTCCTTTTCTGCTTGCTTAATGCCGATGTATAGAAACGCAACTGATTTTTGCATTGATCTTGTACCCTGCCACTTTGGTGAATTAATTTATTAGTTCTAATAGCTTCTTTTAGAATCTTTTAAAGTTTTCTATGTATGGAGTCTATTTGTACCCATTCCAAAGAAAGGTGATCCCACAGAATGTAGAAATTATCGAACAGTATCATTAATATCACACATGAGTAAAATTTTGCTGAAGAGAATTAAAAAATGTTTGGAGCAGTAATAATGACAGAGAGCTTCCAGAAATGCAAGCTGGATTCAGAAGAGGACATGGACCGAGGAATGTCGTAACTGATGTCAGATGGATTTTGAATGAAAGTAAAGAATACCAGAACGATGTTTACTTGTGTTTTATTTACTATGCAAAAGCATTCAATTGTGTGGGTCTTAGCAAATTATGGATAGCATTGAGAAGAATGGGAATTCCAGAGCACTTGATTATTGTTCTGGTTACCTAGTGCTGCTCTGACAAGAATCTATCACAGATGGATGGCCTTATCAACAGGAGTTTATTCTTACAATTTGGAGGCTTTAAGTCCAAGTTCAAACTGCCAGGCTCTAGAGGTTGGGTGAAAGCCCCTCAACCTTGGGGTCCAGTTCAGCCTCCTGCTCCTGGCCCACTGGAGCTAGAGGCATTTCTTCACTCAGACAGCTGCAGGCTGCTGCGGCTGAGAAGCCCCAAGGTGGAGAAGTAAAAAGGCACGGTCCCGATGTTACCAAACCACATGGCAGGCCATTAACTTAAGTCCATTGTAAGTCCCTAGGTTGGCAGAGCATGGCAGGCTGCTGAGCAGCGACACGGTTACATGCAGGGTCCAAGTGTGCCATAGGCTAGAGACCATTCTCAAAGCTTCTCCTTATATACAGGAAACAGATCACATACCCAAAGGCAGCTACTCAGCTACTCACAGTAGATTCCACCATCAAGTTGATTACCAGTATCATCGTGTGGAATACTACATCCAGCTGCCCAGCCACTCAACCAGGCCTAGCCAAATTGACACACAAACATAACCACCACAATTATGCTCATGAGAAACCTGTACATAGACCAGGAGGCTGTTGTTTGAACAGAACAGAGGATACTCTATGGTTTAAAAGCAGGAAGGGAGTGTGTCAGGGTTGTATTCTTTCATCATACTTAACGCAGTCTCTACACTGAGTAAGTAATCCAAGAAGCTGGACTATGTGAAGAAGAATGTGGTATCAATCGTGGTATCAGGATTGATACCTCAGAACTTAGATGATACAACTTTGCTGAAAATGAGGATGACTTGTAGCACTTACAGACTGCCAACTACAGTTTGAAGACTGAAGACTACAGTTTGCAGCATGGATTATTACACTTCAGTGTAAAGAAAACAAAAATCCTCACAAATGGGCAATGAGCAGCATCACAATAAATGGAGAAAAGATTGAAGTTGTCAAAGAGTCCATATTACTTGGTTCTACAATCAACACTAATGGAAGCACCAGTCAAGACATCAGAAGATGTATTGTATTGGGCAAATCTTCTGCAAAGGACCTCTTTGAAGGGCTGAAGAGCAAAGATGTCTCCTAGAAGACCAAGGTGCATCTCACCCAAGCCATGGTATTTTCAATTGCCTCTTACGCATATGAGAGCTGGACAGTGAATAAGGAAGACTGAAGAAGAGTTGATGCTTTTAAGTTGTGGTGTTGGCAAAGAATACTGAAAGTACCATGGACTATCAGAAGAACAAACAGATCTGTCCTGGAAGAAGTATAGGCAGAATGCTCCTTGGTAGCAAGAATGGCCAGACTTCATCTCACTTACTTTGGTCTTGTTGTCAAAAGAGACCATTCCTTGGAGAAGCATATCATTCTTGGTAAAGTGAAAAAGGGGAAGGCCCTCAACAAGATGGATTGACACAGTGGTAGCAAGGATCGTGGAGCTGGCACAGGACCATGCAGTGTTTTGTTCTATTGTATGGAGTTCTGTTGCTGTGAGTCAGAGACGACTCAACGGCACCTGACAGCAACAACACGTACGGAGTAATGTCTTCTTAAAAAAGGGATAGTTTTTCTTCCTCCTTCCCGATTTGGATTACCCCCCGCCCCATTTTTCCTAACCTGTCCACAATATTGAATTGCGGTCATGAGAGTGGGCATCCTTGTCTTGTTTTTAATCTTCATGAGAAGGCTCCCAGTCTTTTCCTATTGCCTAAGATTTTAGCCACAGGAATTGATTTTTAAAATCTGTTTTATGTATTGTTTCTCTTTGGAGCTTCTGTGGGAGAAGGTGTTGAAACTCTGTCTTGAATGGCAGGGTGGGACTCCTGGTGCTGGTCTGCTGGGGATATGGTGCCGGTAGGCCCACTGGTCCTGGCTGTTTTTGATGAGGCAGTCGGAGCCCTTGTCTGCTCTCTGCTTAGGTGTGTGGTTCTTGACTGTGTATACTCGAGGTATGGAAACCTAGAGAATACCATGCAGAGAGCTGTGGTTCCCCACAGAGGGACACCTTTCTATCTCCCTTGGGACTCCAGCCCTTTGTACTGAGGACCTCCCTACGATGACAGCTACTTACAGATATTCTTGCACACAAACGTTCCTGAAGCATCCATGTGGCTGGAAAGGTCCCAGGATCCTTCTCTTGCAAATAGCGAAGCTGAGTGTGAGCCCCTGAGACTGTGGCCCTTAGATACTCTTCAAGCATGGAACTTAACTTATCCCTGTGGCTCAACTTTCAGCCAAACAATAAATAGACCTATAAGGTGAAAAATAACACCAGGGAGGTAAGCACTCCTCAGAAAAATAAACCATTCAAGATCAAAAGGGCAGCATTTGCTCAGGGATAAAACTCAGAAGGAAGGAAGGGATAGGAAAGAAGAATGAATGGAAATGGTAAGCACTGGGAAGAAGTGGGAAGAGTGCTGTTTCATTGTGGGGATTGCAGTCTATGTCACAAAAGGAAATTTGTATGAATTGTTGAATGGAAAACCAATTTATTCTGAAAATTTCATCCAAATCACAATTAAGAAAACAATAAAATATACATTCATCATCTTTACTCCCTCCAAAAAGAAAAAAAAAAAAAAGAGTGCTTTTAACAGTGTGTTGATATGATAAAACGACTCATTCATTAAAAAAAAAAAAAAAAAAAAAAAAAAATCCTGAATGTGGTGTCATACAGGTAGGCAGGAGCACTCAGAACCTGCATAAGAGTATGGAGTAGAGGTGATTGAGATACAGGCACTGGATATCTAGAAGTTGGGCCTCAGGTCCAACAGAGATGAAGTGAGCATCTCATGATGTGCACAAGCCCACTTTCCTCCATGTGTCTCCAGAACCCAGTGTGCTCTCTGGGCTCTGCAACAGCAAGTGGTTCAGGGAGGGTGTTCCTGGTCAGAATCCTCCTTTTGGAACATTTAGATGAGCAGGTTGGACAGGGGCAGGGGAACTGTTTCCAGCTCACTGATGTGTGTTCCCCCATCTCCCTCCATCTCACCTGGATGCAGGTGAATGAGGCAGAGGAGGAGCGCCTTCGTGGTGAGCGGGAACACCAGCGGGTGACGCGGCTGTGCCAGCAGGCAGAGGCTCGAGTCCAGGCCCTGCAGAAGACCCTCCGGCGGGCTATCGGCAAGAGCCGCCCTTACTTTGAGCTCAAGGCCCAGTTCAGCCAGATCCTGGAGGTAGCTGAGTGGGGACAGGAGGGAGATGGACAATCAGGAATGCAAGAAGGGGCCAGGCAGGGAAAGTGAGGCAAGGTGGAGGGAAGATGCTGGTCTGCCTTTCTGGTGGGGTCACTGTCCTGGTGGGTTTGGGTTTACAAGGCCTGTGTTGGGGACTGGTAGTGGCACTTATGCTCAGCATGGCACTGCAGGTGTTGGAGATGGGGCTAGGGGTGGCAGAGAATACAGCCAAAGAAGAGAGGTAAGTAAGAGAAAAGTTGATAACTTGGGCATGGGGAAAGAAGGATCAATGCTGGGTAGATGCTTATTGCAGAATCCATTCTGACCCTAATGACCTGGAACAACAACAACAAAAAAAACCAAACTCACTGCCATCGAGTCAGGTCTGATTAGTAATAACCTCTCCTTGGATTTCCGAGGCAATATCACTATGGAAGTAGATTGCTCAACCTTCCTTCCAAGGAGTGGCTGGTGGGTTTGAACCTCCAGCCTTCTGGTTAGCAGTCAAATGCCTTAGACACTACGCCACCAGAGCTCCCTAATGACCTGGAGCTAGGTCACATTTTACAGGTTAAGGGTACACAGTCCTTTAGATTACCAAGTCTGCCCAGGACTTAAGATGTCAGCCGTAAGCTTGGGGAGCCTCACAGCTATCTTCACTTCTGACCAGCTGGCTGTAAATTTGGGGATTCTTCTTACCCACTTTTGTTTGATAATTCATTAGAACAGCTAACAGAACTGAGGAAATTACTATACCTACAATTAGTTTGATTATAGTCAAAGGAAACAAATCAGGACCAACCCAAAGAAGAGACACATAAGGCAAGGTCTGGAAGGCTTCTAAATGTGAAGCTTCCATGTCCTCTCCCCATGGAGTCAGGATATCACTCTTCTGTCATATCATACATTGTTGTTCAGGGAAATTCACCTGAGCCTCAGTATCCAGAGTTTTTATTGAGGTTTCATTATGTAGGCATGATTGGTTGACTTGTTGGCAGCGTGACTGAATAAAATCTCTCTCCCCAATCTGCTTCCTGGAGGTCCTGCTGATACCACTCCCCCACCCTGATTCATCACGTTAGCATACTTAGGTGTAGTCTGGAGCCTTCCAGGAATAATAAAAATACTCCAATCACTTGGTGGAATTCCTAGGATTTAAAGGTTACCTCCTAGCTCCTAGAGACAAAGGCCAAATTCTTTGGGTAAGGTTAATTTTTTTACCCCATACTCTGTTAATGGGGAGAGGAGGAGCAGCAGCACCAGGTAGAGATTGGGGGCTAGGAGGAAGGCACTGGAAGGGAGAAGGGTGAGGACAGGTGAGGTGCCCAGGGACTGTTGGTGGAGCCTGTGTGTCCTAGGGGCAGTAATAAGGGAGAGGCTCATGAGAGCTTTGTAGCAGGTGCTGAGGGTGGTCTGGGTAGAGAGCGTGGGGAGTCTGGTGCTACCAGAGGGGACTTGTTAATGCCTCAGTGTTGAGTGGAGCTGATAGGACTTGGGTAGCTCCAGGGGTCACCTAACAGTTTCCCACTCTCAACAGGAACACAAGGCCAAGGTGACAGAGTTGGAGCAGCAGGTGGCCCAGGCCAAGACCCGCTACTCAGTTGCCCTGCGGAACCTGGAACAGATCAGCGAGCAGATTCATGCCCGGCGTCGAGGCCTGCCTCCCCATCCTCCAGGCCCACGTAGATCCTCCCCTGTGGGGGCCGAGGCTGGGCCTGAGGGCGAAGATGGGGACAGCGGGATTGAGGGGGCTGAGGGTGGGGGGCTGGAGGAAGGGGGCAGCCTGGGGCCTGGCCCTGGCCCAGACACGGACACTCTGAGCCTGCTGAGCCTGCGCACTGTGGCATCAGACCTGCAAAAGTGTGACTCAGTGGAGCACCTGCGAGGCCTCTCAGATCATGCAAGCCTGGATGACCAGGAGCTGGGGCCCAGGAGTGGGGGCCGCCGGGGAAGCGATGGTGGAGCCCGCGGGGGCCGCCACCAGCGCAGTGTCAGCCTGTAGTGGCCTCCTCAGACCACTGTCCCACTCAGGAGCCCCTCCTGGGGCCCGTTCTTCCCCCAGGTCACCTTCTCCATTGCTTCCCTTTGAGAGGCCTGTTATATCTGGAGTGCTCTGTATCTATTGTGGCTTTCTCAAAGCCCCTTCTCCAGGTGGCAGCTCTCACCTTGCCTTACCTCCAGAAGTCTCACTCTTGGCTTGCTCTCTCTCCTGCTGGTTCCTGTCTTACACCCTTTACTCTTCTCTTTCTGTCTAACTCTTCCATTTCTCTGGCTTTCCTACATCAGGGAACTCGGTCTAGAAGGCACAGGGAAGCCCTTTAGAGAAGAAAGTGGGGTGGGGCTAAGACTTGCTTTCACTGCCCCTAGCCTGAGTGTTTGGACAGGCACCGCTCACATTGGTCCCTCACCCCACCTGCAGTGACCCTGGTGACACTACTGAGTCCTCTTGGAAACCCTGCATCTGTGTCTTCCCAGGTTACCCACAGTATAACTGACAGTTCTTTCCTGTAAACACTACTCCTTCCTTTCAGTGCTCGTCCCTCAGGACTTTACCACCTCTGGTATTTGCCCCAAAGCAGGACTCACAGGGTGACAGTGTCAGGGAGGAGGAAACCCAATCCCAGTATCAGTGTGGGGAACATCAACTCCAAACTGGCTTTCTGTGCTTGTGTTTCCCCAGCCACGCTGGGTCCCTTCAGCTTGCAAAGGTGCTATTGGGTCTCTTGGATCCATGTTGGGGAGGAGTGTTCAGATGTAGTGAGGTCCTGATGATGGAAGCCTCTGCCATTCTCAGCTCTCACCCCGCTGCTGAGGAGAGGATTTATCTTTTCTGGGTAGAGGCTGCTGAAGTGAATTTCAGCACCCTTCTGTGGGTTGGGGTTAGGGAATTTGGTGCTCAATTGCTCTTCCTGGCTCTTCCTCAAACCAAACAATTCCTGCTCCAGGATTCCTTGCGGAGTGTTCAAGCATGACTGCCCAGCCTCTTACCTCCCCTGAAGCAGGGAGGAGTCTGCCTGGGGTGCAGGGTCCTGCCCTCCACCAATAGCCCCAGGTGCCTTGTGCCACTCCCAGGCTGCAGGGAGGCAGAGATGGGGAATCCACACCAGGATGGGGGTGTCTTGGGAGAGCCACGCTTTTCCCTTGTCCAACCAAGAAGTGTGGAGAGCATGTTCTGCACATGAGAGTGTGTGTGGGCCTGTCCAGTTCTGCATGGAAGGCGTCTTCATTGAGAGTTTCCCTGTTCCCTAATCCAAGAAGGATGGTCATAATGAGAACCACAGGTTTGAGGTGGCCATTGAATGCAGGGGAGAAAGGAAATGAGGGTGTAGTGTGTGTATGTGCATGCATGTGTGGGTGTGTGCTTCTGATTTTATTTAAATAAAATAGTTTATGTAACAGTCATGTGTACTGTCCTTGTCAGTAGTGAGGATGTGGCAGGTGGAGAAGAACAGAGAGGGTTTGTTGGTGTGGTCAGGGAAGGCTTCTCGGGAGTAGTCACTTGAGCCCAGAGCTGCAGGAAAAGATGGAGGGAACCAGACTATGATAGGAGGGGGGATGTTCCAGGCAGAGGGGTGACTGGGTGTACTTGAGGAGTGGGCAGGAAGTCACAGGATGAATGGATGTCCTGGATGCATGTAGACATAATTGGGTGAAATGAATAGTGCTGGTGGAGTACAGAGGGGGCACATGGTGGAGGCTGCAGGCTGGGAGTGGGCACTGTTGGAGTCACTGCAGTGGTCCAGTTGGAGAGACGGCTGGAAGAATAGGATCCTGTACTTCCTTGGTGTGAGCCTAAAGGAAAGACATTTGAAAATAGGGTTGCCAGAGTCATTAAAAATAAATTAATTTCTGATAAATATTGAGTAGTGTTTGCCCCATGCAACATCTAGTACATAAAAATTATTCATAGTATGTTTAAATTCAGATCCAGCCTTTTATAGGGTACTTCCAAATTGGGCTTGACTGGTTGATGGAGGAGTGGATTTGAATTTCTTTGGATCCATGTTGTTGGAGATGCCTTTCAAACATTGGTGAAATCAGGCTCTGGGAGATGAAAACTTGAGGGACGCAAAAGGCTTTGGACAGCTCTGGGGTATGCCAGCATGTATAGCCAGGTTTAGCCAAGAGATGAACGAGGAGCTGCCAGGGAGGAGAGCAGGAAAGGATGCCTTCCAGGCTTCAGTCCTGGAGGCTGAAGGGGCAGGGTGAAGGGCTAGAGCTGGAGGGACAAAGCAGAGCAGTGACTTTGGTGACTTCAGCTTGATCAGTGTCACGGGGAGGTGGCAGTGGACTCCAGACAGTGTGCCTTGTTGAATCTGAGAGGGGCTTCCCTGACCTGGCTTCTGAACTTAATTGAAGAATGCAAATAGGTACTAAATACTTTGTTCCTGAAAAAGCAGCTGTGAGCCTGCATGGCCTTGCACTGTAAGGGGACATTTTCTGAGAAACCCACTCACTTTGACCAGCACAGGGTGTGTGGGGCCCCTGGCATGGTGGAGCCCCAGGAAACAAGCTCTGTGCTGTGCCTGCCTTGTTTTTTCATATGAAGTAGTAAGTGGTGAGTGGAGAGAGGCTAGCAGGGTTACAGCAAATGGCATTTCCTCCACATGGAATAAGAGAGCAGACATAGCAGCAAACAAAAAACAAACTCACTGCCGTCGAGTTGATTCCGATGGAATTAGATTGCCCAGTCTTGCTTCCAAGTAGTGGCTGGTGGGTTTAAACCGCCAGCCTTCTGGTTAGCAGTCAAATGCTTTAGGCATTATGCCACCAGAGCTCTTGGACATAGCAAAGTGTTAATAATCATAGTTCACTTAATAATGGTGGCTTACATGTGCCAGGCACAGAGTACATCTACCCATTTAATTACACAACACCCTGGGGTAGGTAATACATAATTTTGTTTTTACAGATGAGGAAGCAGGGGCCCAGCCTCAAAGTGTAATGGAGGCTAGCTCCCAACTCAGGGACCTGCACTTGAGTCCACACTGGAGCCCCTTCAGTGAACGACCTCACAGGACAGGTGAGGAAATGGGGTAAGTAGTGTAGCTATGTCTTAGCAAGGTTTGCTGGGAAGAGGAGCTGAAAAATATCAGGAAGGTTAAGGGCTTTTTTTTTTTTTTTTTTTTTTAAAGGTGAGCAAAAGATGAGGAAGGTGGGTCCTCATCCCTCATTCCTGTACTGCTCTGCCAACCTCACATGCCCTGGACTGTGTCCTACCCATATGCAGGGCTGGGGCCTTCACTTCTGTCTCCCTAGCACCCTACACGTTCCTGGCACCTAAAAGCTGCTCAGAAAATGTGCCTTTGCTTCTCACGCTTTCTTCCAGTCCAAAACTGTGCTAGGCAACTCTGTCAGAGCTGGGATTAGGAGATACCTCTCGGGAAATTCTCCAATTTCTTTACGCATCCATTTATCCTCTATAAAGTGGGAAACTGTTGCAGGCGTGCTTAGCATGTTGCTAACAATTCTCTGTGGCGTTGGGATATAGTGAACTGATCCTAAAAAGACTCCATCTCCTGCTAGACAGAGAGACCATACATTCCATTTCATGTTAGATTCCATTATTCTGAATGTGATTTCCACAAGCCTAACAAGCTCTGGTGGTGTCGTGCCTAAGGCACTTGACTGCTTACCAGAAGGTTGGTGGTTCAAATCCACCATCCGCTCTGTAAGGAAGACTGGACAGTCTGCTTCTGTAAAGATTAGCTGCTTCAGAAACCCAAAGGGGGACTCTGTGAGTCTGAACTGACTTGATAGCAGTGCATTTTTTTTTTTTAAACAAGTCTGAAGGAACTCTGGTGGCATAGTGGTTAAAGCATTTGGCTGCTAACCAAAAAGATCTGTGGGAGAAGAGGCAGTCCATTTTTGTAACAGTCTACAGGCTTGTAAACCCTACTCTGTCCTAAGGGATGGCTGTGAGTTGGAATAGACTCATTGGCAGTGGGCTTGACAAGTCTGAGCCAGGCTGGGGTGAGACTGGGAGGTGAGAACGCCTCTAGCCTGGCTGGGAGATGGGCTTTTTGGACTGACATGGTCATGGGCTGTCGACAGGGGGCAGCAGACACCCACACAGCAGCAATTTGAATCCACTTGCTGCTTTGTGCACCTTGTCTCCTTTGTCCTCCAGGCTTGCGAGGTCAGCGTCATGGACATTTTTTAGAAGAGCCCGGGAAACAGATCATGAGAGTAAAGGGTGATATGACTAGAATGGAACCCCGTTTGACCCTGCCATAGATCTCAGGGTGTGCCCTTGGAATTGCCTGCTGTGAGTGAGTGTTGGGCCAGCTCTGTGGGGGCGTGGCCTGTCTGAGGAGATGGAATGTTTGTTGACTACTCATGCCTTCTCTTTTAGGAATTTACGTGCTTCCTTATCCTCCCTGATGGCCTGTCTCCTTCCTTTTCCTCTATCTCATTCCATATTCCCCCCGTGGGTTCCTGCCATCTCCACCTGCCATCATTCCTCAGCACCATGCCACACTGTACTATATGGTGTCATGTGACAATGGTGGGAGCCAAGTGACCATTTCCCTGACTGACAAACTGATGTGTTTAGTTTATTAAATACCAGGAACTTTCAGAGTGCAAAACACTATGGTAGGGGTAGTTCGGAACACAGTGGGTGGGGATTCCAGATAAAGAACCCAGGTCTGTACCGGTGATCGAGTGCTGTAAGAAATGGAAGACTAAAAGGGCTGCTGTCAAGGAGGGGTCTGGGGGGTTAGGAAAGAGAACTGGCACTACCAGTGGGCTCTACTCTCTGAGGCTCTGAAGTTGTCCCTAGTCTCGGGCAGGCAAGGAGGTGGCAGGAAGTCTCCCCCATCCCCCAAGCTTCCCTGTTCCCAGGCTCCTGTGGAGCCTCTCTGATCCCATGTATCACTCTTCTGAAATCTCCACTTTCTGCCAAACACCTGCTCCAAATGACTTGCATGAGTTTTCCCCAACTCAACTTACTAAACTTCTGCCTGTGATTTAAGGCTTAGTTCATGGGGACTTTTGGCT